AGGGATCCTGCTACTTACCTTAGGGACTGGGAAGGCTTTTGTTTTCTAGTATGCAGATACTTGAGCAGAGGCCTGAAAGAAGTGAGGGAGCTTGCAGAGTCCTGCGTGAGAACATTCCAGACAGAGGAGCAGTGGGCTCTGACTTAGTGTGTCCAGGGCATCAGGGCAGCTGGTCTGAGTGAGCAGGGAGAGCAGTAGGAGGCAGCTCTGTGGGCTGCAAGAAGGACTTTGGCTTGGAATGAAAATTGAAGTGGAGGCTGCTGCAGTTTCCTGGAAGGTTTCTTCTGAAAAACTGTTCAGTGTAATGTAGAATCCATATTCATTTACCTTTTGTGTGGAGAGTAAGATGAGCATCATTGCAGGGTTTTAAGCAGAAAAGAAACATAATCTTTTGATTATGATTGTTTTTTTTAAATAAACTTATTTTAGAGTAGTCTTAAATTTACAGAAAAATTGCAAAGATAGTGCAGAGTTTCCATATACCCATGCCCAGTTTTCCTGTTGTTAACATCTTACATCATGGAGTATAGTTGTCACACCTGATGAATCAGTGTTGATCTGGGGGATTTTTTTGGTTTTGTTTTTTGTTTTTCTTCCTTTTGAGACAAAGTCTCACTCTGTGGCCCATGCTGGAGTGTAGTGGCATTGTCATAGCTCACTATAACCTCAAATTCCTGGGCTCAAGTGATGTTCCTGTCGCAGCCTCCCAAGTAGCTGGGACTACAGGAATGCACCATCAGGGGCCTGGCTAATTTTTTAATTTTTTTGTAGAAATAGCATCTTGCTATGTTGTCAGGCTGGTCTTCAACTCTTGGCCTCAAGCAATCCTCCCACCTTGGCTTCCCAAAGTATTGGAATTACAGGCCTCCCCTCACTGCCCAGTGATCTGTTGTTATTAACTCCAGCTCATACTTTATTCAGATAGTTTTCCCTACTCTCCTTTTTCTGCCCTGGGACCCCATATCACATTCAGTTGTTATGTCTCCTTAGGCTCTTCTAGACCATTCTTAGACATGCCTTCATCTGATGACCTTGACAGTTTTGAAAAGTACTGGTCAGGTATTTTGTGGAAAGTCCCTCAATTGGAGTTTGTCTGATGTTTTTCTCGTGGTTAGAGTGGGGTATGGTTTAGAGAGGAAAACCACAGTGGCAAAGTTTTTATCACATATTAAAGGTATATACTATGAACATGACTTATCAGAGTTTCTATTGACCTTGACCTCCTGGCTAAGGAGGTGGCATCAAGTTTCCTGCCCTTAGCATGCTGTCCTCTTGGGAGGGAAGTCACTATGGGCAGCCCACACTTAATGGTGTGGAGTCATACCTCCACCTGCTTGAGGTGGGTGTGTCTACTTAAACTGTCTGGAATTCTTCTGCATGAGAGATTTGTCTTTTTCACCCATTCACTTGCTTTATTCAGTTTTTTACTGATATCAGTACGTACTGGTGGGTATTTATACTTTGGAGTCTGATACCATACCATATTCTTTTCTTTTTTCTTTTTTTGAGACATTCTTACTATGTCACCCTTGGTAGAGTGTCGTGGTGTCACAGCTCACAGCAACTTCAAACTCTTGGGCTTAAGTGATTCTCTTGCCTCAGTCTCCCAGGTAGCTGGGACTACAGGTGCCTGCCACAATGCCCAGCTATTCTTTTTTTTTTTGGTAGTTGTCATTGTCATTTAGCTTGTCTGGGCCGTGTTTAAACCTGGCTCCCTTGGTGTATGTGGCTGGTGCAGTAACTACTGTGCTATAGGCACCAAGGCCCATGTTCTTTTCTTGCTCAGTTTGTTCTAGCTCTGGAGCTATTTCAGTTGGCTTCTTGGACATATCCCTTATTGTGTTATTACAATGCTTCCTCACTTTCTGACACTGCAGAATACTTAAAGCTCTTCCTGTGTTTCTTGACCTGGCCTAGAATCAGCCATTTCTCCAAAGAGCCCTGGTTACTTTTATTAGAGAATGGCATTAGAAACCATGATTTGGGTACTGACTTATTTATTTATTTATTTATTTTTTGAGACGGAGTCTTACTATGTCACCCTCAGTAGAGTGTCATGGCATCACAGCTCACAGCAACCTCAAACTCTTGGGCTCAAGTGATTCTCTTGCCTCAACCTCCCAAGTAGCTGGGACTACAGGTGCCCGCCACAGCACCCAGCTATTTTTTGGTTGTAGTTGTCATTGTTGTTTGGCAGGCCTGAGCTGGATTCGAACCTGCCAGCTCTGGTGTATGTGGCTGGTGCCCTAGACACGGAGCATAGGTGCTGAGCCAAAGATGCTGACTTTTTAACAGAAGTTAAAGCAGGGCAAGTTGGAAGCAAGGAGGCCAGTGGAGAGGCTGTTGGAATGTAGGCCAAGTGAGCAATGCTCAGAGCACTTGGGTAAGATACTGGGGAGCAGCTTCTAAGTCAGTTAAGTTAAAAGGATGTGTCATGAGCCCATTACTCTGGGTCAAACATAGGGGAAGTTGGTAACAGCTACCATTTCTTGAGTGCTTGTTGCTGGTGGGCAGGTGTTGCGTTTTGTTGGTTTTACCCTATGCCTATGTAATTAGTATGTGTATCAGAGAATGAGGGAGAGAGATTAATTGATAGAAACCTCTGTAGTTACCAAGTTCATGCCCCTTGGGGTCTGAGACCCATGGCAGATTCCACCTTTCCTGTTGGGAATATGGGCTTTCCCCCCATGGGATGGCCCAGGCTTCTCATCTACCAGGCCAGACAGGATCAAAGGGTGTCCCCAAGGTTGATTGCTTGTTTGGTGTCTCAGCACCAAACCATCAGGTTTTCATTGCTCCTTAAGTTTGTAGGAGGTCCCCAAGGCTGAGAGTTTTTGGATTGAGGACTCAGTGTGTTTCTCTCATGTGCTCCATTCTAAGCTTCTCAGATCTGAGGGTGTGTGAGGGAGATGTGCCCCAGCCTGCCTGTCAGCAGCAAGGAAGAAAGGTCTAGGCAGCAGTGGCCTTGTTGCATCTCCGAGTCTCACACATCTGCTTCCTGGGGTCCTGCTGATTAGGATGGGATGGGAGGCGCAGGGCTGGGCTTCTTCCCTCCTGGCTCTGCCTGCTGCTTGGCAGGCCCTCTTGACCATACCAGTCATTGCTGAGATGTGACCATATTCCCAGTGAAGGGCACACTGGGCCTTATCTTTTTAATTCCTGGCATAGTCCTGTGAGGTAGGGATTGGGTTGTTGCCCATTCTGCATGTGAGGCCCCTGAAGCTTAGAGGATAGAGTTTCTTGCCCAGCCCCAGGTTCCCCCAGCAAAGGTGGGATCCAAAGCCAGGTCTCTGTGACTCCCAGCCACAGTGAACAGTGGCCTAAGTGGTCACATCCAGATTTTCACATCCCCCCCCCCCCCGACTCCCCATAACACTTCTTTCCTACCAGCTGCTGGATGTCTCTGCTCAGAGCAAGAGGTCACTTGTCTCCTGATACCTTCCACCTTTTTTGGGTGAAGAGCACATCTAGGTACTAGTTGTATTAATGCTCTGGGGCTGCTGCCTGCTTCAAGTTCTCTGGGGCCAGGAGGCTCTGGGGTACTAGGGAAAGGCTCATGATTTATGTGAGAAATCCTGTCAAGCATGGTGGGTTGTGATTGTAATCCCAGTATGTTGAGAGGCCAAGGCAGGAGGACCATTTGAAGTCAGGAGTTTGAGAGCAGTCTGGGCAACACACCAAGATTCCATCTCTACATAAAAATTTTTTTAATTAGCTGGGCATGGTGGTGCATGCCTGTCATCCCATCTACTTAGGAGGCTGAGGCAAGAGAAGCCCTCTGGTGCCTGGCCCATCCTGGGCAGGGCCAGTGGCAACTCTCCCATAGAGGCGGTTCTCTTCACATGCACCCAAGGTGCCTGCATGGGATTCTCCTGGAAGGCTGGATGAGACTCCTCAGTGCAATGACCTCCTTTTTCTCCTAGTCCACCTTCTTGAGTCTGATGACCTCTACAGCCAGTGAAGCTGCATCCTACGAGTTCACCACTCTGACGTGTATCCCTGGGGTCATTGAAGTAAGTGGGTGTGCTGGGCACAGAAGGAGAAAGGGTGTGTTGTTGTGTTTGCTCTTAGGCGTGAGGTGGGTGTCCCTGCAGGAGAGCAGGCTCTGAGCCAAGCAGCTCTGCCTTCCAGCACTGGCACTTCTGAGGCTCTTGGCTGCTGGGATCTCAGAGATGCCTGGCAAGGCCTGGAATCAGGCAGTCAGGCCCTGTATATGGCAACTCGGCCTGGTGCCCCTTGGTGTTCTACTCTGCCCCGCCCCAGCTCTGGTCACTAATCATTGGTTGGCTGGATCTTTCTGTCTCCTATGAAGCTTTAGAGGCTTGGGCTGTGTTTTCCTTGGGCAACTGAATACTGTGGTCTTGAGTCTCCCATAGGGAAGCAATTTATTTGTGAAGAGTGTCACCCTGGGCGGTGCCTGTGGCTCAAAAGAGTAGGGCACCGGCCCCCATATATTGGAGGTAGTGGGTTCAAACCTGGCCCCAGCCAAAAACTGCAAAAAAAAAAAAAGAGTGTCACCCTTAGTGATGAATGTTGTGGGACTGGGAAATCTCAAAAGCCCTAGCCAGGCAGCTGCTCAGCTCATAGACTATTGTCTTTACCAGGCTCAGGTGGCCGTGGGCTCAGATATGGCTATGGATTGGCACCTGGGTTTCCCTCACCCTTGAGCACATGAGCAGGGCCAGGTTCAGGCAGGCCCTTCCCAGCACTGACCCTGCCTCCTTTATCATGTGTCTCTTCTGCATCCTAGTACAAAGGTGCTAATATCCAGCTCCTGGACCTTCCTGGAATCATTGAAGGCGCAGCCCAAGGTGGGAAACAGGGACAGGAGGGTGGGGGACAGGAAGGAGCTCTGTTACTGTGTTGTTAAATTGGGTGTGGGTGTTGGGGAGATCACCATGGATCCTTGTTTCTGTTACCTGTTTTCTAGAAAGGACAGGCTCAAGTTCAAATGCTGGTGCCACACAAGCTTTGTGATCTTGGTCAAATGATTTACTACCTCTAAGCCAAGCCTCAGTTTCCTCATGTGTAGAGTGGGCATAATACTGAATTTACAGCATAGATTTGAGGATTCAGTGAGGAAATGTTCACACACATAGCCTGGGGCCTGCCACACAGTACAGGGAGGGCAGGACAGCCATTACTATCCTGTTACTTCACTGTGGAAGTGACACTGGAGTTCTTTCTAAAAGAAGTCTCGATAAGTAAAACAGCATGTGGATTGAAGAGACTTGACAAGGAGTCGGGTTGGGGAGGCTGAGGGCACATGGCAGAGGCATGGTGGGTCCATAAAGGATAAGAGTCCAGGGTTCCCCGGCCCAGGTAGGGGTCACACAGGTTCTGCATTCCTTCCACCTGTCCAGGGAAAGGCCGTGGCCGGCAGGTGATTGCTGTGGCGCGCACAGCCGATGTTGTCATCATGATGCTGGATGCCACCAAGGGAGAGGTGCAGAGGTCTGTGGGGTGGGGCAAGTTCATATATCTGGGGAGGGCCAGTGTGTCCCTTAGTTCATGGTGGGTGGTCTGTGGGGTGCTTGCTCCTCTTATACATGGGAGTAGTAGCAGGACTGTCCACAGACTAAGTCCAGTGAGACCCAGCCTAGGATGGCCTCTGCTTGAGCCTGTGTCCAACCAGCACAGGTATCTTGGGGCTGAGACCAAGGAATATGGACTGGCTCTGACTCCAACTCCTGCCTACAGGGGCGTATGTGCCCTGTCACTGCCCAGAACCTTCCAGGAGCCCTAGGCAGCAGAAGCATTGTCTATCCCACACCCGCTGGCGGGAAGTATACCAGGCCTGCCTCTGCAAGAGCAGAGGGGGCTCCTTGGGACCAGAGGAGCATCCTCATGTGGTTATCTCACAGGCTCGTGCCACTTGCCTGTGCACACTGACTACAAACCAGAACGGTCTCCCATTAATGGTGACGGAAGTTTGGTAGCTCCCCTGCAGCTCTGGGGTGTTAGGAAGAAATGTTTGTTCCCTGGGTTGCTGGGGTCTCTACGTGGGTAGGCAGGGGCTTCCCATGTCACATAGAAGCAGCCTCTGTGGGAAGCCTGTGAGGGCTCATGGGTGCTCTCCCTAGGTCTCTTCTGGAGAAAGAGCTGGAGTCTGTGGGCATCCGCCTCAACAAGCATAAGCCCAACATCTACTTCAAGGTGAGGCTTCTGGACTGTGACCCAGGGTGCAGCTGGTTTGGAGCTGCACTGGCCTGTGGCTATAGGATCTTTGCTGCTGTCCCTTGGTTAGCAGTTCTCCCTTTCCTTCTCTTCTTCAGCCTAAGAAAGGTGGTGGCATCTCCTTTAACTCAACGGTCACGCTGACCCAGTGCTCGGAAAAGCTGGTGCAGCTCATCCTGCATGAATATAGTATCCTTCCTCCAAAGAGAGGTGGGGGGTGACCGTGGCTGGCAGGGTGGCTAACTAAGTCAGGAGGCTTCATGACCCGGAGTGACAGCAGATCACACCCAGAGACCCCCACCCCAATCCCTCTGAGCAACCTCCAGGAAAGATCCAGCCCCACAGACATGAGACGGCTGTGATCTCCTGCCTGTGTGCTTGTGGTGCTACTGCTGGGGCTGCAGCACCAGCTTAGCACTGGCTTCCTGGCTCCTCACTGAGTGTGTGGCACTGTGGCGGCCAGGTGACAGCAGGAAGAGACACAGGATATCCTGAGAAGTAGCATCTCAGGACAAGGAGGTCCTGCCTTGGAAAAGCCTCAGGGCAAGTGGGAGGCTCTAGTGTCATTGGGGCTGGCTGGACAAACTCTCAGAGTCAGACCTCCCCCATGGTGGGGCAGGCTGCCTAGCCAGGTGGTGAGCCCCACATTGCTACAGGTGTGTGAGCACAAGCAAGAGGGCCCCCCAGAGGGGAGGCCTGCACGGGAAGAGGCTGGGTTAGATCAGCTTTCAGGCCATACTCCCAGCACTGAAATCTGGGTTCCACTGAGGTACATTAGCAGGTATATTTTGTTCCTTGCCTGACAGTGAATATTTAAACAGTTTGTTGATTGAAACTTTTATGTATTGTGGTTCCTTTGGGGGTTGGAGGACTTCCCATACTTTAAAATCTTGTAAAACCTCGCAAGCAGGTGACCACCAAGGTCCCTTCAGCCAACATATTTCTTGCTCAGCTCTTTGGGTCCCTCCACTGAGTAGGCATGAGGGCTGCTAGCACACAGGTTCCCCCTTAACTGGAATCCCCTCAGAGATCTTCAATGCAGAAGTGCTCTTCCGAGAAGACTGTTCCCCAGATGAATTCATTGATGTGATCGTAGGCAACCGGGTGTACATGCCCTGCCTGTATGTAAGTGGCACCAGTACCCAGGGAAGACTTTGGGGGATGTGGAGCCCTGGCCCTGGAGCTCCCAGGACACAGATAGCTGAGGGCCTCTGTACCCCACATGAGGCAGGCTTCTGAGAGGTGCACAAGGAGCCTGAGATTCTCCTGTCCCTCCCCCCTGCATTGGTGGCTGCTTGAGCCTTGCAGACATGGAGAGCTGGAGACTAGGCTTCTACCCCAGCCTCTTCCTCTGGAGAACTGACTGCCCTGAGGCAGCAAGGGGAAGAAGGCTGGGCTCCACATGCCCTGGTAAGCCAAGGAGGGACTGTGGGCAGGTGCAGGCCCATTGAGGGCTCTTTCCTTCCCCATCATCCACCTCCACCTTTTCAATCTCAGGTTTATAACAAAATCGACCAGATCTCCATGGAAGAAGTAGACCGCTTGGCCCGAAAACCTAACAGTGTGGTCATCAGGTAAGGACAGCTCTGCTGTCCCACCTCTGGGTTCTGAATCACCTTGGCCACAGGAGGAGAAGTTGGGTACAGCCTCCCATCAATACACAGCCAGCACGGGGCCAGGGTCCCCTCCTGATAGCAGCTGGTGGCATTGGCCCATCTAACCCTGGGTTGGCATGGTCAAGGTGGGATGGTATCTGGTGGGCTCTAGTTAAGAAAACAGAGAAAGATTTCATCAACCCGGGTTGAATGGTTAAGAGGCTTAGTAGTGAAGCCCCAGATGTGAACCTCCCGCTCCTGGTTCTCTGGAAGGGATGGCTTCTGAATGATCACAACTCAGAAGGAAAAGGGAACTTGAGTTCTCTGGTGGGCACAGTCCACCCACTGCCACCTGACAAGGGTTCTTCTGGGGTGAACCATGCATATGCCACACTTGGCTGGCTTCCTGGCTCCAGCCAGGCACTCTGCAGCTTCACAGAGAGGCCCAGCTTATAGGAGTGGGGAAGTGGCCGGTACAGAGGATGGGCAAGGATCCTGGCCGAGCACAGGTATTTTGTGTTACTTGCAACCACTGCTAAGCACAGGTTTCCTCTATGGGACAATTTCAGCTTCTCTTCTGCTGTTGCATCTAGGCCCTTCAGTGGCTGCCTGAGGACATACCCATTCTCAAAGTATGAGCACATTTACAAGGCCACATGCCACACCTCTGCTTCTCACAACAGCTCCACAAAGGTCAGGACACCACTCGAGGTTACACTGTAGCACAAAGTCCAGCCAGGGTGCACCCTGGGTCTGGGTGTTACTAATTCCCTGCTGCTGCCCTGGGCCCGTTGGCAGCCCCTCCCTCTTCAGGAGGGATGAGCTTTGGATGTCAGAGTTCCTGGCCTCTGTCCATGATCTATCATGGCCTCTGACCTGTCTCCTCACAGCAGCCTCAAGTCAATCCCAGGTGCCTTGGGCCCCTCAGGGCACAGCTGAGCTGGTCCCCAGGAGAGATAGGCTGAGCTCTGTTGGGTGTGGCCATGTTTGCTGACCAGAGGCAGCTGACATCAAGCAGCCATCAGAATAACAGGCTATTTCCCCACGGGCACCAGAGGAGCCACCCTGGCCTTGGTGTCTGTGCTGGACAGTGGAGGTTGTCATCACTGGTCAGAGCTCCAAGCCCACCAGGGCCCTGCCTGACTGGCTGCCTTCCTCCCTGCAGCTGCGGCATGAAGCTAAACCTGGACTACCTGCTGGAGATGCTTTGGGAATACTTGGCCTTGACCTGCATCTACACCAAGAAGAGAGGACGTAAGTCATGAGGGGTGGCTATGGCCCAAGAAAGAAGCTGAGCCTCACCCGCACCAGGGGCTCTGGCACCAACCTGGCCTGGCTTGTCTCAACCCTTCAGTGCTTTCCTAGCTCAGAGTAGGCACTGCTCTCCACCCTACCCTGAGCCCATAGGGCAGAGGATGCCAAATTTGGAGTCTACTGGTCCCTGGTGGGGATGGAAGGACAGTATAAGTCTGCTGGAGTCCTCCCTGGCTATAGCAGTCACTGCTCTTCCTGACCTCACCCTCATGGGCAGGTCCCACATGAGAAGCTTTAGGCAGCTAAATCTATAGAAGCCATCCTGTGTCCACACCCCACAGCACATACACTCTCACATCCCAGGGACCCAGCAGCTGAGTTCAGGCAGTTTGTTATCAACCATGACCTCATCAGCAAGGAGAGAGCTGTAGCTTCCCCCGACCAGATGCCAGCAGCCATTTGCTCCCTTGCCCATTCAGATGCTCCAGCTGCTTTGTGGGAACTGTTGGTAGATAGGTGGCAGGCAGTGTGAATCCTGGACTTTGATTTATTTTGATTCTCTGTATTAAGTTCAAGGTCATAGAAGACAGCACAGGGTTCTATCCTGAGGTATGCTACATAGCATGGGGGTGGTTAGGCCCAGGCTTGGGAGACCAGCAGGGCTTTTGCAGCCAGCTCTTCCCCTGTGAAGGAGTCACAGAGCAGCAGGGCCATGACGTGCAACTGACACGCTGACCCCGTCTTCCCTACAGAGAGGCCGGACTTCACGGATGCCATAATCCTCCGGAAAGGAGCCTCTGTGGAGCACGTGGTGAGTTGACTGGGCCTAGCAGACAAGGGATGGGAGCTTTGCAGGCTCTGGGTGCTCAGTTCTGCCTGGGTTACTTCCAGCCAGGACCTGAGGCTGACTCTGGAGTTAGGCAGCCTGGGGCTGGCTGTGTGTGGAACCTCTGTCCCTCTCCTGTGGGTGGGGTGGTGCTGCTTGCCTACCTGGAGTGCTAAGCCACACTGAGTGAGGTCCAGCATAGAAGGCACTTAGCATGCTGTCTGGCACCGGGTAGGTGGCATAAGCACTGGTCCTGGCACCCTGCTTTCAGAGCTGCAGGCTCCTCAGGCCACTGTCATCTGAGTGTTCAGGTCAAAGTGAGCCACTGCCCTGGGATCTTTCTGAATTGCTCTTCTCCCAATAGGGCTGGAGCTGGGAGTCTCAGAGAGACCCCTAGACCCTTCTCCTCCTCCCCCATGGCAGAGCTGGCTAGGGTTCAGAGTTGCCACCTCCCATGGTCCCCACTCAACTCAAGCCTGGTCTGCCTCCACATCCTGCCCCTAACCCAGGATGACTTCAGATGTTTCTTGCCCTCAACACAGGTTTATTGAGCAGCAACACTCAACAAAATAGCTCCAGTTCCACCAGAACTGGGTCCTTTGGGGTCAGAAGATGCCAGGCACCCAATCTCAGAAGTCACACATATGGGTGGGGTATGGTGTAAGTCCAGGTCTACACAGAGGTCAGTAAGGCAGCTGGGAAGTGACCAAAGTTGGCTTGTAGAACAAGGGGGGATCTGGCAGTGAAGAGTTGGGGTAGGAAGTACCCCACACAGGGGAGCAGGTGTGTATAGGTCCACAGGCTCTGGGCTTGGGAAGTAGGAAGGTGAGTTTCCCCATCTAGAACTCTATCACCTGAACATGATCCTGCAGGAGCAAGTGATGGCCCAGAGCCTAGGACAGTATTTTAGATCACATAGGCATCTGCCTGGACTTTTGTTTTCCTAGGTGTTATTTTCCTTGAGCTCAGTTTTTCTCAGGATCTATATCATGGAGGCAAGGGATGCTGTGATATCCAGCCATCCCTGCAGCTACTTACGGGACAGTGGTGGGTGGGTCTGCAATCTGGTCTCATGCACTCACTCATTCAGCAAGCCAACCCAGGGCCTCTGGGTTCTGACCTCAACATGCTGATATAAATGAGCCCAGATCATCATATCTTCCTCAGGGCCTGGGCTTGAAAGTTAGCACACCAGGCAGGAGCCAGGGAAACTTTGGATTACTTAAATCCCTTCAATCACTCACAGGGAGCCCTGTGTTGGAGGCTCTGTCCCCAGGCCTGTTTCAGAGCCAAGGTGTTGTATCTTCCAACAAGTGCCTACTCATGCCTCCTGCGGCAATTTCGGCCCTCCTGAGGCCCTCAGCTGCTTGCTGAGAGGCTGTGGGGCTTGAGCCATGCCTGAGAAGAACAGGAGACACCAGGGGCAGGGTGCTGTGAGCAGCAGGGATACAGATGCAAAACCCCAGAGGCAGGAGCAAAGGAGGGATATAAGGCAGAGGCAGCAGGTATTAAGCCTAAGAGTGAGGAGAGGTGAGGGTGTCCCTCAGACGTCTGCTCATTCCATCATCACTGCCCTCTAAGCTTGCCCTCCCTAAGTGCCTATCTCTGGGGCACTCAGTTGATCCAGGTGCTATAAGCTATAGTTAAAAGGCCTGCTCTGCCCAGGGAGTATATTACAACCTGGATGCCAACAACAGAGACTCATAGGAGGTGAAGAAGGTAGACAGCCAACCAGACCTGTCTCCCCCATCCCATGCCTCAGTTCCCTCATCCACAGTGACTGACCCCAGGACTGTTGTGAGGCACTCAGTGCTCCTAGAGTTCTCAGGGTTTCAAAATAATCCAGTGACTATATCACTCTGCATTTTAAACTCTGCCAGTGGGTTTAATTTTTTATTTTTATTATTATTATTTTTTTTAGAGACAGAGTCTCACTTTCTTGCCCTTGGTAGAGTGCCATGGCATCACACCTCACAGCAACCTCCAGCTCCTGGGCTTAGGCAATTCTCCTGCCTTGGCCTCCCAAGCAGCTGGGACTACAGGCATCCACCACAATGCCCAACTATTTTTTTGTTGCAGTTTAGCCGGGGCTGGGCTTGAACCCTCCACCCTCAGTATATGGGTCTGGCACCCTACTCACTGAGCCACAGGTGCTGCCCTTAATTTTTTATTTTTTAGGAATGAGGAACCCAAGTAAAACAATACTCATTTATAGGTCAGAGGAGAACAGAATTCCCCTTACGTGTCAGGGAAATATTCTTGCAGGTGTGATCTGCCTCTTCCTAGGGAGGCTGGGCTGAGCCATTTGGTGTTTGACCCAGGCCTGTAAGACTTGTGGGAGGAGGAGCCACACTGCAGTCTTCTCCCTGCCTGCCCCACTACCATGACAATGAGGGGTCCACATTCTTGGGGCAATAGCTGGCTCCCCCCATTAGGGTCTACTTACAGGTTCCTGGAGCACTGGGATGTCTCTGATCTCCCTCCCTGCCCAGGAGTGCTGACAGCTATGTGCTGCCAAGGGGTGGGGATGAGGGTCGGAGTGATACACCACAGCTGGGGCCAGGAGGGCTCAGACAGTGACCAAGCAGTGGTGACTCCAAGCTTGTCATTCTGTCCCATTCTGAAGGAGCATCTGTCCAGGTGAGACAGGTGGAGGGCTGCTAATAGCCTGGTCTTCAACTTTTCTCTGATGGCTGTGGGAACATTCTAGTCCAGGGGTCCTCAAACTTTTTAAATAGGGGGCCAGTTCACTATCCCTCAGACTGTTGGAGGGCCGGACTGTGGGCTGTGGGACGAGTTGGCTGCTAAGCAGGACAGGCAGCAGCAGCAAAAACACCTGGCAGGCCGGATAAATGTCCTAGGCGGGCTGCATGTGTCCCGCAGGCCGTAGTTTGAGGACACCTGTTCTAGACCATGGCTGCAGCTCTTGGGCAGGTGTGGGAATGGGAACGACTCGCAGCTGGGACTAGGCAGTGACATGAGAATCAAATGTATCATTTCTTGACCCAAGGCCTGGGTTGTTTGAACTCTTGCTTCTTGGCACATCCCCTGAGCTTTGGGGGTATGGTCAAGCAAAGGATGGGGTTGGGTGAAGCTTCGTCTTCCTGTCTGACATTTTCGTGTCCCCTAGTGCCACCGCATCCACCGGTCTCTCGCCAGCCAGTTCAAGTACGCCCTAGTGTGGGTGAGTCTCTGGGTAGGAGGTGGGCGGGGTCAGAACCAACACAGCACACAGAGCAAGGCATTCACACTCTGCACAGTGTCCCTGTGGGGACCGGTGTGTCTGTCTTTTCTGTTCCATGGAGTGTGGGTATCGACCTGGCTGGACATGAGCCTACCCCACTTTTGAGTCAAGGATGGTCTCCCCTGGGAATGTCCTCCTATCTGGGGCCCCTGATGTTCATAAACCCCTGTCTTCCTCCAGTGACATCCCCCTTGGCCTTGGCCACTCTGGGCTGACATGACACCTCTCCCCCCATTCCTTGCCCAGGGCACCAGCACCAAGTACAGCCCACAGCGGGTGGGCCTGACCCACACCATGGAGCATGAAGATGTCATCCAGATTGTGAAGAAATAACTAATGGCTTCCACCAGACCTCCTACCGACTGGCCTCATTTCTCTGGGCATTCGGACCCACTGGGATACACAAATGCCCAAACAGGAAAAATGCAAATCTATACACCCCAGGAAGTCTCTGCTGTTCCCAGAGTTTCTTCAGTAGGCAATGAAATGGAGCAGAGGGGCGAGGTGTGGGGGATTTCCAAAGCTAATCCCTCTGCCGGGGACTCTGAGTTTGGAGTCCTGGCTCAGCCTCTGACCCCCAGCCCCTTTGGGCACTGAGGGGGCAGGTTGCCTAGCTGCCTCCCAATTGGGGCCAAACACGGACACATGCTCAGTGCTGGGCTGGGCACTGGGCCTGCGGGGGTCCCTGGATGCGTGGATACTGCCAGGATGCCTGTTCCTTGGCTCCTGCCAGTGTCACCTCCCACGTGCAAAGGACTGTCCCATAGTGGGAACCAGTTCACACCCTCCACAGGCTGAGTGGTGTCTTAAAGTGCCTCCCCCTATGCTTCCTCCCAGGGCAGCCTCTGCCCAGGACAAAACCCCAGGATTTGGGGCTTGAACACCTGGGGTGGGGATTTCTGAGTTTCTGTATTTTCTCTCTAAGCTCCCAGCTCTCCTTTCTGAAATAAAGGATTAAAAATAGTTTCTGTTTGGGCTGAGGGACATTTTGTAAACATACCAAACTTTGTTGCCAGGTTAGGGGACACACGTGATGAGCTTGACAGTCTGAGTAACTAGCATTGGATAGCAAGGGGAATGCAGGGGTCCTCACCCAAGCTGGAATGGCCTCTGCCCAGGAAGTTGGCCAGGGCTACAGGCCCAAACATAAACCTCTGGAGGGGTCTGGTTGCCAGGGTGGGCAGCATCCCCAGGAGGCCCTTGTGAGAACCCTTGGGGTGGCAGGAAGACTCCCCTGTGAGAGCTATGTGGCTGGTTGCATTTCTTGTGTCCTCAGGCCAGGAGAGGAGTCAGCAAGTGCTTGCTGAGTGCCCACTGTATACAGAGGGCTATCCTGGCCACCCTCCAACAGCCTGCTCTCCATGGGATGAGACTCACTGCAAGCTACACAGCTTGTGTGTGCAGAGCTGTAATTTAAGACCTCAAATAGCAAGGAAGGCTTCCTGGAGGAGGTACCCTTTTGGGGGTAGAAACAGCAGGTACTATGAGGCTGCCAGGAGGGGCAGAAAGCTCCCCTGGGCAGCCTTGGGCCAGGCTGGAGTGTGGAACAGGTCAACTGCCCAGCTCTCAAACTGTGCCTGGCTTCCCTGTCAGCTGCTCACTCCTTTCCAGAGACAAAACAGGAATAATAGACATCATTAAATATACATGGGGCTCCAGGCGGTCAGCGTGGTGGGCTGGGCCTCCATTCCCCACAACACTGATCTGCTCTGCTGTGCCAGCCGTGCTCCTGGGGCCAGCCACAGGACCCCCATTAGGCGGCATGCAGGCAAGGAGCAGGCCACGGGACCCAGGTAAGGGACCCTAGTCATGGGACCTTGGGGTCTGTCACTGCTCTCTCCCATGTTGCAGGGGAGAAGGCAGAAGGGGTGGCAGCAGAGCTGGGACCCTCCCCTAACTCACTCATTCTCTCCACCTGTGAGATAGCATGGTGATGCCCACACAGTACCTTCCTGGTGATGAGGGCATCAAGACAGATGAGTGTTTGGTGGCTTACCTCCGCCCTTTCCCAGCTGCCCATGAGGTCCTAAGTGAGGGTTTCTGCTTGCACCACAGCTGTTCTCATTCCCCAACCTATGGGTCTGGGGAAAAGTAGGGCAGGCTCTAAGTTCCAGGGTGTCTGGTCAAGTCCAGACCTTAGATTGGATCCAGGTCTATTCTGTCCCCCAGGCTGGCTAGGAAAGGGTGGGAGGTGAGGCTGGGGTCTTGGGGTCCTCAGATAGTGAAGGCTTGAGCCAGAGGCTCAGCCCAGGGCCATACATGCTCCTCACTAGGGCTGGCTTGTTTACTAGTTAGGCCTATATCCATGGATCAGGCAGTCTCTGTGTCCCTGCTGCGTTCTGGGCTTTCTAGATTGGTGGTCACCATGGTCATACTGCCCACCTGTGTGCGACGAGAGGAACTGTACAGCTGTGCATGCCTAGGTCATTGACTTGGCAGCTCACAGTGCCCTTGGGGCTTAGAGAAGCCTCCTAAGAACTCCAAAGGTCCCTAACCCAACCCACTGGGGTCAACCCCAGGCTTGGGTCCCAATCCTGTCAGCCACCCGACTCCCATAACTCACCCTGCACCTTCACTTGGGCCTGTCCCCAGACAGCAGGGCTGCTCTCAGTCCCAAGCTGAAGCTGGTATCTCTGTGACCTCCCAGGGATGGCCCAGCCTGCGGCTTTAGAAGACTCAGGTGTGCAGAGGAGCTGAGGGAACAAACTTCCATCATGCATCCCACGTCTGCACAACCATCCATTCTCTATGCCCCTTCCTCTCCCAAAGTTCCTTATTTCCAAACTTCCCTTTGGCAAGAAAGCCAAAATAGGGCTCTTCTTCCCACTCTGTCTCTGTCCCTGACAGCTCACCCCATCCCAGTCAACTTGCTGGATGCTGTCCCTCTGAACTCCAGTCCTGGGTCCAGATCGCCTCCTTGACTGTCCCACAGCCGCCCAAAGCTGCCATGTGCTAGGCCAAATGTGTCATTCCCACATGCCCTGCCTCACTTGGAGGCGACTCCCCTGCACATCCAGCTGCACCAGGCCAACCCCAGTTCTACCTGATTCCACTCTCTCCCCAGCCCCATCCCTCAGTAGGTCAGTCTCTTCACCTCATCCTGAATGTGGCCTCTGTGCTTCCTCACAGTCCAGTCCCAGCCAAGCTACTGCCTCCTCCCCATCCCTCACCACACAGTGGCCCAAGAGCTTCTCTTTCCAGACCTCTTTCCAAGAGACCAAGAAGTGATGTGAGGCAGTGGTTGAGAATGTGAACACTGGAGCCAGACTGCCTGGGCTCAAAGCTGATTTCAGGCTGTGTGATCTCAGGCAACTGGCATAAACTCTCTGGGCTATTTCCTCATCTGAGAAATGGGGAGAATAACTGTGCCCACTTCAGAGGCTTGTGGTGAGAGTTGAATTCTGTGTGGCCTAGCAGATCTGAACATAGGCCATGTTGCTTCCTAGCTGTGGGCTCTCAGCTGAGCAATCTAACCTTTCTAAGATGGGCCCTTAATCTATAAAATGTCAAGAAGTTTCTGTCTTGCATATGTGAGACTCTAATTTGATATTCCAGAAAATTGTTCAGCACCAAGTCTGGCACATAGTTAACACTGGCAGTGTTGGTTAGTTTTCATTATTTTCAAAATGTAAATCTGTTCACAGCACTACTTTAACCTTACTGTGGCTCCCCACTGTGTTAAGGATGTTGGTTAAAGTCCCATCCCAGCCTCCACCACCTCCTGGGGCTGGTTACTGCCTGCCATCACGGGCATTTCTTATTCCATGTGCCCCTCCTCACATGCTCCAGACATAGGACTTTCCTTTAAGCCCTTCCTACCACTTAGCCTTTGTACATGTTCTTCCATCTTCCTTGGACACTGTTTCCTCTTTCGTGATTGGCCTCCTCTCATCCTTCAGATCTCTTCTCAGGGTCACCTTCTCAGCCTTTCTCCTGGATAATCTCCATGCAAAGACCTCCAACTTGGGGCAGGTAGGGGTGTGGCTCCAAGAGATGTCCTTGTGCCTGAAGGGCAAGCCCTGTCCCACTTCTCCCCTTTTTCTGGAATGATGCCTGACAAATTTATGAACTTGCCACTGTGTATGTGGCAAGCACTGTACAAACAACTTGGTAAGGTGTCATAACCTCAGTGTATCAATGTCTCGCAGCTGTGTTTGTGTCAACATGTGGCAGTGTCTTGCTGAGTGGTGCTCCTTATTGTTCTTGCGTATTTTTGCATGCCATATGATTAACAGCTGTGATGGCCATACCAGAAAAAGAGTTCCAAAATTGCTTTGAAGGGTGGACTGAGTGCTAGGGTTGGCGCAAAGCCCCCTACAGGGAGTACTGTGAAGGTAATTATAGAGGTAGTCAGCAATGAGGTATGTAGCACTTTTTCTAGGATAAATTTGTGAACTTAGGCTTGGCGCCTGAGGCTCAAGTGGCTAAGGTGCCAGCCACATACACCCAAGGTGGTGGGTTCGAATCCAGCCCGAGCCCGCCAAACAACAATGATGGCTGCAACCAAAAAATAGCTGGGCATTGTGGCGGGCGCCTGTGGTCCCAGCTACTTGGGAGGCAGAGGCAAAAGACTCGCTTGAGCCCAGGAGTTGGAGGTTGCTGTGAGCTGAGATGCCACGGCACTCTACCCAGGGGGACAGCTAGAGGCTCTGTCTCAAAAAAAAAAAAAAAAGTTTGTGAACTTAATTGTCACACCTTCATATGTTAATAAGAGCAAATACAGGGTGATGCCTATGGCTCAGTGGGTAGGGCACTGGCCCCATATACTGAGGGTGGTAGGTTCAAGCCCAGCCCTGGCCAAACTGCAACAAAAAAAATAGCCGGGCATTGTGGTGGGCACCTATAGTCCCAGCTACTTGGGAAGCTGAGGCAAGAGAATCACCTAAGCCCAGGAGTTGAAGGTTGCTGCTAGCTGTGACAGCACAGCACTCTACTGAGGGTGATAAAATGAGACTCTGTCTCTAAAAAAATAAAAGCAAATAAAAACTTATATTCTTACCCCTACACACACACACACACACACACACACACACAAACACACTTCCTAAAAAAGGGCAGGCCTGGGGACACATTGTAGACCACAGGCTGGCCTGCATCCTGCTTCCTGTACTAGCAGACCTGAACAAGCACTCCCGAATGGGACACAGAGATTGCTCACCTTTTCTGCTGCAGTAGTGTGGTGCTCTGTCCTGGAATGCATCATGAACCACGGCAGCAACGTGTGGCTATGTGTACCACAACCCCTATGTGCATAAAGGATGGATAAGGTAGATTCCCAGTGGCACATTCCTTCCTCCTTTTCAAAAATCAAGATATAATCCATACCCCATACAATCTACCTGCTAAAGTGCACACTGCAGCGACTTCAGTGTGCCCACAGGTAGCCCAACCCTGTGACTACCACAGTCCTGTCCTTCTCAAAACCTCTCCCTTCATTCCCATTACTTCCCTCATGGCAGTTACCCTGGACCTCTAAGGTGCTGCCTCATGTAGGCAACTCCCTATCTTCAACTCACCTGGCCCAGGTGCCCACCCTTCCCAAATCCTCTACCCTCACCTCCACAGCCTCAGGCCCCTACCCCCTCCTGGCTCTCTGCCACCTCCTCCACTGGCTTTGTAGTGGTCACTCACCCCCTCCTTGGCCCCGGAACAGTGCAGCCCTGGAACTTGTTCCTTGGCCTCTCTTCCCTCTGTACCCATTCCCTGATGTCATCCTCTAGAACTGTGGCTTCAATGCCATCTAGACGACAATGATTCCCTAACTGATGTCACCAGCCCTGATCTCTACAATGGCCCCCTGACAGCTCCCTGGAAGTACCCATTGGACATCTGACACTTACACATCCAGAGCTGGCTTCTGGGTCCTACCTCCTCAGCCTCCTCTGCTCAGTCTTCCTCACCTCAGCCAATGACAGCCTCTCTATCCTCCCTGCCATTCCATAAGGAAATCTGGGAGCCACTGCTAACACCCTACTCTATAAATCTTGTCAGATCTACCTGCCACATATCCTCAGCTTCCTATTACTCTTCTCTACCTCTACTGTGTGCATCCTGGACCCCCAAAGAAGCCTCCACAATGGCCTCCCTGCCTTTGCCCTCATCCTTGCAGGCAGTCCTCACACAGCCGAGACTTCCATGAAGACTGAGGTCAAATTCCCTTGCTTCTCTTCCCAAAACGCAGTCACAGACTTGCTAGCTATCAAGGCCAGGTTCCCACCATGATCCATAAGGCCCCACACGTGTGCCCTCAACCTCTGAGCTCACCACCCAGCTGAGCCCCAACTGCCTTCTGGCCACTCTGGCCTGGCCACTAGTCCACCTCTCAGGACCAGGCACTACTCACAGCCCTCCCTCTCTCACCTCCTGCAGGTTTTGGCCCCATGACCCCTGCCCAGCAGTGCCTTCCCTGACTGTTCTGTGTCACACGTTCCCACTTCTTGCCACCTTTCTCAGCTTTTTTTTTTTTTTATTCTTGCCACAGGGTAGAGTGCAGTGATATCAACCTAGCTCACAGCAACCTCAAATTCCCAGGTTCACATGATCCTCCTACCTCAGCTTCCTGAGTAGCTGGACTACAGATGCCCACCATACCCAGCTAGTTTTTCTAATTTAAGTAGCAATGGGGTCTCACTCTTACTCAGGCTCGTCTTGAACTCCTGAGCTCAAGCAAACCACCCACCTCAGCCTCCTAGAGTGCTGGGATTACAGGTGTGAGCCACTGCACCTGGACCCCCTTCCTGGCTTTCTTTCCATCCACAAGACTTATCGCCATCTGACTATCATCTATGTTGTTCGCTTTCCTTGCTTATTGACTAAACACAGCCCCCTCCATATGCCAACTCCATGGGGCAGGATTTTTGTCTATTTCAGTTACAGCTGCTTAGGCAGCTCCTGGACCACAGTATGTCTTACAGAGACTTCTGAATGGGTAAATGATGGCTAGAGGACCTGAAGGGCCAGGGGCCAGGCTGACTTAGGACTCTAGGTGAGGTCCCCAAGCGGGGATGTAGCACATGAGGGACAACCACCTCAGAGGCCTGGCTGGGTCACCCCATCTGCCAAGCTCCCAGCAGGAACAGGCTTTGGGATCAGCACAGCTAAACCATGGCTCTGCAGCATCCTAAACTGCTCCCTCCTGGGTGATGGACCAAACACCAGGAGCTCAGTGAGCAGAAAGGTTAGTGAGGAAAGTAGCTCTAGACCTAGCCAGACCTAGCTTCTGCTTTCCCAAGCCAGGTGACCTCCAGCAAGTCCCTTTACCTAAGTTTCCTTCTCTGGAGAATGGAGACAACAGCAGTTCCTACCTCATAAACCTGTGGTGAGAATCCTGTGAGATCACTGTGTCACCCACCTGGCCAGAGCCGCCTTCTGGGATCCAGGAGGTGGGACTAGTGTAGCCACCTCTGGGCTCCCTCAAGTGGGCAGCAGGCACAACCCAAGAAAGAGGAGGGAGAGTACACAGCCTAGGAGGTGACAGGGAGAATGGTTGTTCCCTCAAAATCCTGCACTACAGGAGGCCCATTTCCTGCTCACACCATGCCTCAGCTCCTACCCAGGAGCCACCTAATTGCTCCTATTTCCACTGACAGCCTGAGGCAGGTACCACCAGCTCCTGGCACAGCCCCTCTCAGCGGCTGGGCACTGACTAGCTCTCAGCAAATCTTGGGGAGAAGGAAACTAGAGGAGCAGAGGATGTGAACAGAGGAGAGGTGGATGGAGGGGTTGACCTGGCCTGCTGTACATTCCCCTCCTGGCTCCTCACCACTGGCCTAGAAAGGCCTCTCTCTGTCCCCATTTCACAGCTGAGCAAGCTAAGGCTATGAAGCCCTTGCCTGAAGGTACAGAGTTGGCAAGTAGCAGATCAGGGCAAAAGCTTGTTGCTCTTTTGTCTCCTATGTTAAACCTTCAACAAGCATAGAATTAGCTCTGGGACCCAAAGTCTAAACTGCAGTGCAGGGAGTGGGGAGCCTGATGTGAATTACTGGTCTGTCTGAAGACACCCTGGCCCCTGCATGTGCTGAGCCTTAGCCAGAGAGAGAAGACATAAGAAGAGGAGAGGGAGGACAATCAGTTCCAAGGCTTTGGGCCCAGGGCTGCCACCCTCACCGTAAGTTCTCCCCTGCCCCCTACCTCCCTTAGTGAAGATTCCCAAAAGTGAAGCAGACTAGTCATCAACCAGACAGTGGGCACATGGCCTTGGGTCAAGTGCCCAACCTGAAGCAATCGGCCACATCTGGGAGGGCAGGGGCCACACAGCCACAGCCAACTTGGCCAGGGCAGAAACTAGGAGGAGAGGTCAGGACTAGGCAGGGACTGCAGACAGGAGCCACCAGCAGGCAGCTCCATCCTGTCTTGCTTCCCCCTCGTGAAAGAGATAGAGTACAGCCTGTCACTCCCATTCTATAGATGAGAAAACTGAGGCCCAGAGAAAGGAGAGACTTTTCTGAGGCCACACAGGCCAGTCAGTGGCGGAGCTAGGGATCAGAGCCAGGCCTGCTCCCCAGTAAAGCCTCACAAGGCCCTGCTGGAGTTCTGCTGAGACACCCCTACCTTGTCCTGCCTTTTGAGCCAGCAGCCTGGTTCTCCCCATGTATTATTCAGCTCCCGAGAGCTGGCCAGATCCCATTACACTGACCGCAGCCCTGGGCACCTGTCCTCCCCATTCCCCTCCTCCCTAGCTCAGGATCTGGAGGGTCCAAGGTTTTCCACCAAGGTGACATGGTGGGCTTCAGTCATCCCACCCTGGGCTCAAGAAACCAATCTCCACTTCTGGCCCAGTACAGGTGTGCCAGGTGATTTAGGGCAGATAGTGTCCCATCTCTAGGGCTCAGTGCCTTCCTCTGTCAGGCCACAGTGGCCCAAGGGCTCCCTTCAGGGGTTGTGCCAGCTGAGGCGCAGGGGGTCCTGACCAGGATCAGCACAGTTGTTGCCACAGTGAAGACTGAGATGTCTTCCCCAGCACAGGCCTCACAGGCTTTCCCCATCCCAGTACAACACCCACCCACTTTCCACACTGCTCAGAGTGAAACCCAAGGCGGCTCTAGAGGAAATGAATTATGGATCCACCCTCCCAGAATCCTGGCCCAGCCCTGGTCACACGACTCTGGTCAGTTGCTGCTGTTCTGAGCCCGAGGAGGCTGTGTGTCCAGCTGCACGCAGGACTTCAAGCAGGTCCTCAGTCTCCTAGTCCCTGAACCTGTGATACCGGACTTAGGCTGGTGGGACACAGGTGGCCACCATGGCGAAGGAGGAAGATGAGGAGAAGAAAGCCAAGAAGGGGAAGAAGGGGAAGAAGGCCCCGGAGCCAGAGAAGCCCAAGCGGAGCCTGAAGGGGACATCTCGGCTATTCATGGGCTTTCGTGACCGGACACCCAAGATCTCCAAAAAGGGCCAGTTCCGGAGTGCATCAGCTTTTTTCTGGGGCCTCCATACTGGCCCCCAGAAGACCAAACGCAAAAAGAAGGCCCGCACTGTGCTCAAGTCCACATCAAAGCTCATGACTCAGATGCGTGTGGGCAAGAAAAAGCGGGCCATGAAGGGCAAGAAGCCATCCTTCATGGTGATCCGCTTCCCAGGCCGCCGAGGCTATGGGCGCCTCCGGCCACGTGCCCAGTCGCTAAGCAAGGCGTCCACAGCTATCAACTGGCTTACCAAGAAGTTCCTCCTCAAAAAGGCTGAGGAGTCAGGCAGTGAGCAGGCCACTCTGGACGCCTGGCTCCAGCGCTCAGGCTCCCGAGTGGGCTCCCGCAAGCTGCCCTTCCCGTCTGGCGCCGAGATCCTGCGGCATGAAGGCCCTCTGCGGAGGTTCCCCCGCAGCCGCAGTATCTATTCCTCGGGAGATCCCGTGGGCTTCCTGCCCTTTGAGGACGAGGCCCCATTCCGGCACTCGGGCTCCCGAAAGTCACTCTACGGGCTTGAGGGCTTCCAAGACCTGGGCGAGTACTACGACTACCACCGAGAGGGCGACGACTACTACGACCAGCAGTCACTCTACCACTACGAGGAGCAGGAGCCATACCTGGCAGACTATGGCACCTACAGGCCAGCCTGGCCACCCCACGGCGGCCACTACTATGGGTACCCGCCAGAGGACCCCTACAACTATTACCACCCTGACTACTACGGGGGCTCCTTCTACCCCGGGTACACCTACGGCTACGGCTATGATGACTATGAGCCGCCATACGCGCCCCCCTCAGGGTACTCGTCTCCTTACAGCTACTATGACCCCTACGAGGGCGAGGTATACCCCTACAGCTACCCCCTGAACCCCTACATGCCCTATGACACGCCGTACCCGTCGTATGACCTCCCGTACGACATGCCCTACGACGTATCCTACTTGGATCCCTACAGAGTTCCCTACCCTGTCCCATACGCTGAAGGCATTTATGGCAGTGGGGATGAGGCCATTTACCCTCCCGATGTACCCTATCTCTACCCGGAGGAGTCAGCCTTCGGGTACCCCTGGGTGCCGCCACCTATCCCATCACCCCACAACCCATATGCCCACCCCATGGATGACATCGTGGAGCTGGAGGAGCTAGAGGAGCCAGAGGAGGTCGGTGGGGAGCGTCAGAGCACATCCTTCCGCCTGCCCAGCTCCGCCTTCTTTGAGCAGCAAGGCATGGACAAGCCTGCTAGGTCCAAGCTGTCCCTCATCCGCAAGTTCCGCCTCTTCCCACGGCCCCAGGTGAAGCTATTCGGGAAAGAGAAGTTGGAGGTGCCCCTTCCACCGTCGCTGGACATCCCACTGCCCTTGGGGGATGCAGATGAGGAGGAGGAAGAGGAGGACGTGCCTCCAGTGCCCTATGGCCACCCTTTCTGGGGCTTCCTTACGCCGCGCCAGCGCAACCTCCAGCGCGCCCTGTCTGCCTTCCGTGCCCACCGGGGCCTAGGCTTCAGCCCCGGGTTTGGCCGCCCCCATCCTCGTCCAGCCACCTCGCTGGCACGGTTCCTCAAAAAGACGCTGTCAGAAAAGCAGCCCATCCCCCGGCTCAGGGGCAGCCAGAAGTCCCGCAGGGGCGGCCCCTTGGTCAGGGAGGCAGCATACAAACGCTTCGGCTACAAGTTGGCTGGCATGGACCCCGACCGGCCCAACACGCCTATCGTGCTGAGGAGGGTCCAGGCGCGGGCTCGCAACAATAACAACTCTCACCGCCCAGCTCCGCGCCCGCGCCCGCGCGCGCCCTCGCCCGGGGCCCGCGCTCGCGCCCTCACCCACTGGAGTGCGCTGGTCTCCCCGCCCGCGCCCGCGCCCCCGCGCGCACCCAGCCCCGGCCCTCCGCCCACCCCGCCCTTCTCCCCGGTCCTCTCGGGCCTGCCCCGACCCCCCTCGCCCTACGGCTCCCTCCGCCGCCACCCACCGCCCTGGGCCGCCCCAGTTCACGTGCCCCCTGTGCCCCAGGCGAGCTGGTGGGCCTTCGTGGAGCCCCCTCCCGTGATCCCAGAGATGCCCCCCGACCTCCTGACCTTTTCCGGACCCCGGCCCTCCTTCAGGGTCTCCCGTCCTCCAGGGGCCGCCCTCGGCTTCCCTGGGGCCTCCCCGCAGGCGTCGCAGAGAAGGGCCTGGTCTCCCCGGCCCTCTCCGCAGCCCTCGCTGAGAAGCCTGCCAGGCCCGGGCTACCGCTCACCCGTGGGGCCCCCGTCCCCTCGGATGTCCATCCGAGGCTGCCCCTTCCAGCCACCCTTCCCGCCCCCGCCCTGTCGGCCCCGTTCACTGCGAGAACCCCCGGGTCCCCACCGAGCCTCTGGGCGCCTGGGCCCGCCAGGCCCTACCCGGCCTCCCTCACCGCCCTCTCTGCTAGGCCACAGCCTGCGGCGCCGCTCCCTCAACCTGCCCTCGCACCTCCCTCACACTTGGCGGCGACTCAGCGAGCCTCCCACCAGGGCTGTGAAGCCACGGGTGCGCCCGCCCTTCCACCAGCCCGGCACCGGGTCCTGGCGGGCAGCGGCTCCCCCTGTGGAGCCCCGGGAAAGCCCGAGAGAACCTCAGGACTCAGAAACGCCCTGGACAGTGCCCCAGCTGACCCCCAGCTGGGAAGTGGATGCACCTCCCACCCAGCGCCCACCCTCCCCCTGGCCAGGGGGTGCAGGCAGCCGCCGAGGCTTTTCCAGGCCACCCCCTGTGCTGGAAAACCCCTTCCTCCAGCATGTCGGCCCTGTGCCACCTCCCCAGCCTGAAGATCCACCTGTAGGCTCCACCAGTGTCTTTCTGGGCAGACACCACGACCCTGGGCCTGGACAGCTCACCAAATCAGCTGGCCCTAGCCCTAAGAAGCCTGAAGAAGAGGCCATCCCCAGGGACTCTCAGTTACCAGCAGAGCCAGAGTCTCCTATCCAGACACCCTCCAGGGATGTCCTTCCAGAGCAGAAGGCTTTAAGACTCAGCCTCTCATACCCACTCGCTGCATGTGACCAGACAAGAGCCACGTGGCCACCATGGCGCCGCTGGGGGACACTGCCCAGAGCCCCAGCCCCCTTGGCACCCAAACGTGCCCTAGGGCCCCTGCCCAAGGAGGGTGAGCACCAGGCAGGCCCTGGGCGTTTTGCTGTGGTCATGCCTCAGGTGCAGAAGCTGAGCTCCTTTCAGCAAGTTGGGCCTTCCACCCTGCAACCCCTTGCCCCTCCAACCCAGGAGCCTGAGCCCAGTTCTGAGCCGCAAGCCTGGAGTTTACGCTGTTCCCGCCTCTGGCTGCTGGTGAATGCCCACCGACCATGGCCAAGAGTACATACCCACTCCCAGTCCTGCCGCCTGGGCCCCAGAGCTTCCTGCTTGTCCCTCAAGGGCCCCTGGGAAGAGACTGGCCCCAAAAGCTGGCAGAACAAGGTATGGGGGCCCAGGTCAAAGAGAAGCTTGGGGGGTTTAACCTAGGAAACAGGAAGGACAGGAGAGATGGCCTGAGGAGCACTGTGAACAAGCTGCTTACTGCCTGCTTGGGCCTTAGTCTCCACATCTGTAAGTTGGGGAGAATGGCCTTGACCTCTCAGAGCCTCTGAAAGGTTGAACAAGGGTATGCCCAGCACTGGCAGGCCCAGGACAGAGATGTAGGTAGGGTTCTTTGGGGGAAGATATCTCTGTCAGTCCCAGCCTGGGCTTTGGGCACCCCTACCCTGGTCCAATCTGGATGGTGGATCTGGCCCCCACATGCCCCTCAGAAATTTTGGCCAAGCCAAGTGAAAAATTTTAGGGCTTCCCTGTCCACCTTGTCCTACCCTCACATCCAGAGCTGTGCTGTTCTTCCAGCCTCTTACTGACCCTCTCCCAAATTGGTGTCACATCTCTTTTCAGAGCTGCTGCCACTCTTTGCAGTCCTCTGGGCTGAGGGGCTCTGGAGTAGACAAGGGTGGGGGCCTCAGGACCCAACCTTCCAGCCTCCTCATTACAGAGTGGAGAAACAGGCCCAGAGGTCACACAGTGGATGAGGGGCTGGGCCAGCAGTCTGTCTGGGTCACCTGTGAGGTGCAGGGCAGGCAACCCATCTGAGGGGTGCCTGGCCCTTGTCTGGCTGCCATACTCATGGCGGAATGCAGCCTGATCCTAGGGTGGTCACCGGAGCCTCCCCCGGGACAGCCAGGGTGGGCGGGGCAAGCAAGGCAGAGAGTGCTTCTCAGCCTCTGCAGACGGTACCCAGCAGAGCAGGCAGCCAGCAGGCCCCAGCAATGGCGACTGGGGCAGCCTGGCTGCTGGGGGGGCCCTGGCCCCGGCGACGGGTGCCCCGAGCTGTGTGGGCTGCAGCATTGCTGGAACGTGACGTGGGGCGCCCAGCAGTGAGGGGCAAAGATGCCTGGGCCCTCCTCACCCTGGAATACGTGAGTGGCTGAATTATTCAGGGTCTGCAGCCAATGAAGCACATGGGCAGGTGGGTGGGCCTAAGGCCAGGGCCGAAAGGGTGATACTCTCTGTGCCCTACTTAGCAGCTCAGCAGCGGGCACACAGGGCTCACTCCTGGTGTCCCCTTTCCTTAACTGCTCAGGGAGGGGTGCAGCTAGGGTGGGAAAGGCTGAAGATGTACATGTGTGTGCTCAGTCATGCAGGTCCCATGCACATCTGCGTGCCTAAAGGTGTTTGCGAGGGTGTACCACAGCCAAAGGAAGAAAGCAAATGTGCCTGCTCACCAAGGTCTGAGCAGACGTGGCATCCATGGGTGTCAGGACAATTTGTCTCCCCTCTGCATGTGTGCACATGTATGTGTGCATGTAGCAAAGACCCTACAGCCCAAAAATAGTACCAGGATTTCCATTCTTAAGATACGCAGGGTAGGGAGGGCACCTGCTGTTTGCCCACGTGCACACAGCAACTATATGTGGAGGTTATGTGTCCTATATCCACAGGCCTCCTGAAAGCCCGTAGTGTGTGTGGGAATTGTATGAGCTGCACAGCCATTGTGTGGGGGGCCATATGCAAGTGTACATGCACACATTTGCCCTGAGATAGGCGTGGGGATATGGTGCTGATACACTCCGTCTATCTTCATGGACATGTCATGTACCAGGACACAAGTGTCCATCAAGTCGTCACATGAGCCAGTGTGTAGGGTCTTTTGGTCCAGGGACAGCTGAAACCTGGAGGGAGCTGGTGCATGCACATGTATACCTGCATGTGCTCACCCTCCAGGGCAGGATACTTGGGAGCTCCTAGAAATACTCGCCCTAGGAACAGGTGATGGGGACAAGCCAGTGTCCCTGTGTGTGTGGGTCACCTTTAGCTTCCATGGGCAGCAGTGTTCTGTGGTAAGGAGGCCTGCGAGACCCACCCAGCCTGGCCTTGAATTCCCTCTCTTTGGACCCGGCTGGTGTGTCCAAGCCACGGGCTGCTGCAGGGTGCCCTCCAGCCTGTAGACTTGCCTTCTCTTTCACAGATGCACTCCATCCGCAACCTGCCAGCCGTGCGGTTCCGCGAGCAGTGCAGGGAGGATGGTGTGGAGGACATGACACAGCTGGAGTGAGTGGGCAGGGCCATGGGGTCAGCAAGACTCACTGTGGGGTGCCATACTCCCAGCCAGACCACGTCCTCCTACCATGTGCCCCTTACCTCCCAGAAATACTTGCAGAGCCTCATTTCCCCTGTTTGCAAAGCTGGTATCATGGGGTGTCACAAAGACCAAATATGTTTTCTGTAAGTCATACAGACCTGGGTTCAAATCCCAGCCCCACCACTTACCAGCTAGGGAGCCTTGGGCAAATCATTTAACCTCTCTGCCTCAGTTTCTCATCCACCAGGTTGGGGGCAAGATGGCTGTTGTTGTGATGGTGCTGGCACATTGCAGGTGCCCAAAATGTGAGGCTATGGTGGTCAGCATCATTATTTGGTCAGCCTACAAGTCTGCCATCCCCAACCCCCAGTGAAGTAGGCACAGTGATTGTCATACCCACTGGACAAATGAAGAAATTGAGGCACAGGAAGGTGAAGTAACTTGCCCAAGGACTCACAGATGGTTGGTTCAGAAATGAGACTTGAACTTTGTCCTGTCTGACAAAGGCATTGCACTGAGTGGGGAAGGTACCCATGCCAGCTCTGGGGGCACTGACAGCCCTCTCCATGCCCTTCCAGAGACCTCCAGGAGACTACTGTGCTGTCCAACCTCAAGACCAGATTTGAACGGAATCTCATCTACGTAAGACCTGGGGCTGGTCCTCAGATTAGGGAGGCAGATGACTCTTGGGCCTGAGTGGGAAGCATAGATTTCTCCTGGTAGGCCCTAGAACTTGGCCTCTGGTTTGAACTCTGGTGTTTCTGTCATTTCAACATAGAATACTAGGGCCTGGGACTCTAAAATCTGAAGTCTTAAAATATAGAGTCTTAGGATGGTGGATGCCAGAGCCAGAGACCTAGAGATAGGGCATCCAGAAATGTGTGACATCCTCTTAACCAGGAACCCAATGGATAAAGCTTCTAGAGTCCTAGAATCTATAGACATGGATCCCAGGGTGGGGACAGCCAGAGGGGTGGAAAAAGCCCAGAGCCGCAGAATGACAGAACAGGTGCCAGAGGTCTAGAGCCACAGTGTGGAAGGCCAAGACAACCAGAAGGGCTCTGGCCACTTCAGGATCCTCAACTTCCTCCCCACTCCAGGCAGGATGGAGGCAGAAGGCCCTGGAGCCTGAGCCTGACTGTGAATAAATGAGGTAGGCGGGAGCTCACACTGCTGCTCTGAGGACTGCAGCTGTGGGGTATTGATCGCTGCAAGCTGCTCCTAGCCTCTGTCTGGTGCAGTGCCTGAAGTCCACTGTCAGAGCACCTGACCCATCCAGCCATCCAGTTGTTAGGGTCTTCTGGTGGGAACACTGAGATCAGGCAGCCAGATATCTGTCTTCATGGAAACAGGCATCCAGGTTCTTAGAGCAGGGGAAGGAAGGACACAGAAGGACCCAGAGGAAGCATGGTGCTGAGGCCAGTGTCTGCCCACAGACGTACATCGGCAGCATCCTGGTGTCGGTGAACCCATACCGTATGTTCGGAATCTATGGGCTGCAGCAGGTGCAGCAGTACAGCGGGCGAGCCCTGGGAGAGAACCCACCGTGAGTGTCTCTGGGGCTGGGGTGGGGACCAGGATGGGGGCAGGAGCACTTTCCTGAGGGAGTGAAAGGTGGATGGGACTGGCTGCTTGGCTAGACACAGATGCCCCCTACCCAACCCCTGGGAACTTTGGGAGCATGGGGGCTGGGGCCAGCTCCAGTGACGCCTAGCGGCCTGCCTCCCCAGGCACCTCTTTGCGATTGCAAATCTTGCCTTCACCAAAATGCTTGATGCCAAACAGAACCAGTGCATAATCATCAGGTGAGCCAGCCTGTGTTATGTGGGGGATAAAGGGAGGACCTCAGGTAGCAGGTCTGCATCCAGCCACCTTGGAAAGCCACCTATGGGGCCTTGGAAAATCTCTGTTAACACATTGGACTGGCCTGCTGCACACATCTTCTTGCTTCGTGATACCCCCAACCTCACATCAGGGGGCGGTAGAAGGTTGATGCTCACTCTGCCCCTTTGCCCGGTCAGTGGAGAGAGCGGCTCCGGCAAAACTGAGGCCACAAAGCTGATTCTGCGCTACCTGGCTGCTATGAACCAGAAGCGGGAGGTCGTGCAGCAGGTGAGTGTGTCTGTCCATTGCCTGGTCTGTCTACATATGCATCAGCTGACCGCTCCTTGATGGGCACACCCTGTGTGTCCCACTTGGAGGATGGAGCCTAAGTTCCAGAGGGGACCTTGCCCTCGGCTGCTCTGTCTCCCATCCCTCCTGCCTGGGGAGGGTGTGTTTCTGCCAGCCTGTGTTTCTGTAGCAGCTCCGGGTTCCGGCTCAGGCCAAGTCAGAATAGAAGCCACATAGACAAGGGGATTCATCCCATCACTTCTGCCTGGCTCGTGTTCTTAGTTACAGCCCCAGGCTCATCATATTCTCATACTCAGAGTCTGTGTAGCCCCTGATAGTGAAGAGCCAGGACAGGTCTGAGTGTGGATTTGGAGTGTTAGTAGATGCCAGGGGTGGGGTGTTGGTGGACACTGAACCAGGGCCTGTGCAGAATTGGGGGTTAGATGACAAGGTCAGGGCTAAGTCCTCTGAACCTGAGAATATTAGGACCTCAACCATTCCCTGGATAAAGGTTTGCTGAGGACCTACTGTATGTAGGCCCAGGATGGGCCCTGGGGAGGAGACAGCAGCGGCCCAGGCAGGCACACATTCACACCCTGTGGGATTACACTCTAGTGTGGAAGCAGAGAGAAAAATATGTGTGTGCATATACACTGTGTGCACAAAAAGCAGATTACATGCATGTAAAAGGGTGGTTCATTGTGGAGAAGACTGTCAGGAGGAGGGTGGGGAGTGTTGAGGCCTGTCATTATAAGCATAGTGGTAGGAGAAGCTGTGCTGAGAAGGTGAGGGAGAGGTCTTTCAGGACAGCTGGGGTAGAGGGGAGAAGCACATGCAAGAGCTCTGCAGTGTGAGCAAGTGTGGGACATTCAGGGGATGACAAAGTGGCAGCGTGGAGTCCAGGCAAGGGAGAGTGGGTTTCAGGCCAGGGAAGTGGCAGTGGGGGTGGTGAGCATGGCTGGAGCTGGGTGCAGGGCAAAGTCAGCTGGCAACTTGCAGAAGGACCTGGCTGAGATGTGATAGTGGACAGCCCAAGGGCAATCTAGGCATTCAGCCTGAACCACAGGCAGCTTGGAGGTGGCTGGGCTATGGAAGGGCAGATTTGTTTAGAAGAAGCATCTGCTCAGCATTCACTCAGAGATGGTGGGGAAACAGCAGATGCACTGAGTCAGGAGCTCAGAGGGCAAGGGCTGGCCCAATAGCTCAGGCTCAAAACCACAGACTCCCAGAGTCTAAGCCCACAAAGGGTTGCATATCCCCATCAATGGCAGGGTGATCCTGAGGGCATCAGGAGCGTTGCTCAGACCTTAGTGGGAAGTGAGTCAGCCCAGGCTTTGTAGTCAGGAGGGGTCCAGCCTGGTCCAGCCCCCTCTTATGCCTGCCTTGGCTGGCCAGTCATTCCCATCCCAGCCTGGCTTCCCTAGTGTCCAACCAGATGACTTCTTTGCTCCAGCCACAGTTTTCAAAACCTTTCAGGTAAGATTTCTGGAAGGGCTGATTAGATAGGCAGTTGTGTTCTGATGGTGAAAGGATGCTGGATATTATCAAAGGCTTTTTCTGCGTTAATTGAGAGAATCATAAGGTCTTGGTTTTTTATTTTATTGATGTGATGTATTATATTTATAGATTTGCATATGTTGAACCATCCTTGTAACCCTGGAATAAAACCAACTTGATCATAGTGTATAAATTTATTGATGTGTTGTTGAATTCTGTTTGCTAAGATCTTATTGAATATTTTTGCATCAATATTCATTAATGATATTGGTCTATAATTTTCTTTCTTTGTTGGATCCTTTCCTGGTTTGGTTATCAGGGTGACATTTGCTTCATAGAATGTTTTGAGAAGTATTCCTTCTTTTTCTATACTTTGGAAAATGTTATATAATATAGGTACTAGTTCCTCTTGAAAGGTTTGATAGAATTTGGATTTGAAGCCATCTAGTCCTCGACTTTTCTTTTTAGGGAGATTTCGTATTGTTGATGCTATTTTAGTGGTTGATATAGGTCTATTCAAG